CTGGTGGGTCCTCCTAGCGAATCATCAAACCCAGAAGCGAGCTGGGGCCTCCCAGCACGGTACCTTGTCAGTGTACCTCAGAGAGCATCTGAGGACCACGTGTTGGTGTTGACGTCACTTGTGGATGACAGGGCCCAGCATCACAGCACGACAGACATTGTTCTCAGCACAGTAGTTAAGACGCTTTCTTCAAGTTGTCCTAAGAACTGTAGGCTGTGAGCTTGCCACCTATTGTGAAACTTAAAGTTTCATTCTTTAGTTGGATTTACTTATTTTTTTTCTTAAAGAAACTTTCTCCAAATCCCCAGTTTTCAGCACTGTGCCCAGTTGAATACACGTGTGAGTTTAACTGAAGAGGCTTCTAACCGTGCCTGACAGCTCTGGTCTCTCCCGGTCTGGTCCCAACCCTATAGGTCCCGCGGTCTCTCCTCCCCACACACATGCCCCGAGCTGTGCCAGGACTGTTACACCCCTCCTGACATTGAGGTCCGCCTAGGTCCCCTTTGCAATACATGAAGAAGTTTCATCTTCAGGGTTTTGTGTGTGACTAAGTACTCTTAACTCCTAGGAAAAGTGATGTGCAGATATAACCACATTTAATAATGATTTTCAGTATTTATTATACGGCAGAGTCTGAATCTAAACTCAAGTTTATGTGTGACGTCGGCCTTAATAAATTAATAAGCAGAGCATGCGTATGCCAGATGCAATGACCACGCCGCCTACAGAAATGTAAATAAGAAAAAATGTCCTCCACCTTTGCGTCCATAAACCTTGTCCACCTTTCACACGTACCAATGAGTTATAAACTGATTTCCCCTCCCTTTGAAGGTGCTGCCATACCGATTCTGGTATCAGTACTACAGCTGGCTGTCACTTGATCACTTAGAGCAGATTCGGCTCTAACTTAAATTTTAGGATGCTCTGGACCAAGGCTAATGGTTATAGGAGCCCACAAGTTCATATGGAAGCACAAAATGAGATGCAAAAGCCAGGAGGATGCACACAGATGACTCAAAATAAGACACTTCTGAACCTCTGTCGGCCTTCAGTTTGGACGGCCGTGAACTACCTAGCAAATGTCAGTATTTCTGAAGCTCTAGAAGTCACTTTAAAATATAAAGTATATATGAAAATGCAAAAATATACCTATTTACTTAGTGAAACCATAACTTTTTCCCCAGTCATGTGACGAAATCTATATTGTCTATTTAATAAATACGTGATTTAAAATGTATTGATAGTAGTTCACTAGCAGTAAGAGGAAACGTTGTCTCTGGAAAACTTTCCAGAAAACAGTAACCAGATTCGAGCACTTAGTAGACCTTTGAGGCCAAGTAGTTGGCAAGGACACCTAGAGAAATTACTCAGACTTCTTCTTCTTGGGTGGGAGTAGCAGTTCAACTCCAGGTTAGTTGTCTAACATGCAGAATGGTCAGCTACTAAGGAGACACTTCCGGGATCCTTACAGCAGAGTTTTTCAAAGAATACGTGTGTGACACCATCCCGGTCCTCCAAGCACGGTAAGCAGACCAGCACTGGTCCAGGAACGTTTATTATTAGTCTACGACTAGATCAGTGTAGAAACTGAAAGTACTTGGAAGGTTTTATAGCAATTTGACATAGCATGGCAACCTAATATGTGATCATTTTTCTAGTAGTTCATTGTTCGTGTATTTTACAGAAGTATTGGTCTGTGATGGATAGGAATTTTTTTAATGGCCCTTCACCACAGGTTGTGTTGTTTAGGAATGCTTGTTAAAAATTCCGTTTCTGGGGCTTCCCTGGTGGCACAGTTCGTGCCCCGGTCCGGGAAGATCTGACGTGCTGCGGAGCGGCTGGGCCCGTGAGCCATGGCCGCTGAGCCTGCGCGTCCAGAGCCTGTGCCCCGCAACGGGAGAGGCCACAACAGTGAGAGGCCTGCGTACCACAAAAAAAAATTCCGTTTCCTTGGGAGTTCCCTGGTGGTCCAGTGGTTAAGACTCCGCCCTTGCAATGCAGGGGGCATGGGTTCGATCCCTGGTCTGGTCGGGGGAACTAAGATCCCACATGCCACGTGGCATGGCCAAAAAAAAAAAAATCCATTTCCTGGACCCCAACATACACCAGGGAACCCAGGTCTCTAGGGACGGGGACAAGCCCGGGAATCTGCATTTTAACAAGCTGCCAGGTCGTCCTTTCACGCTGAAGGCTGAGAACTGCTTTCGAGGGAGGACAACAGCGTCTCTCAGGAATGACAGTGGCTTCTCCCACTTGGAGACCAGAGTTGCAAAGGCGACGGCTAGTGCACGCAGGTCGCAGCCCCCGTGGATGAGGCTGTGTTCTGGGCTGACAGTAATGGGAGTGTGGTTTCCAGACACAGTTCCACGCTCATTTATCAGAAGCTTTTGTGCAAAAGACACCCTTGAAGGAGACTTCCCTGGTGGCGCAGTGATTAAGAATCCGCCTGCCAATGCAGGGGACACGGGTTCGAGCCCTTGTCCGGGAAGATCCCACATGCCACGGAGCAACTAAGCCCGCGAACCACAGCTACTGAGCCCACGTGCCACAACTACTGAAGCCAGCGCACCTAGAGCCTGTGCACTGCAACGAAGGGTAGCCCCCGCTCTTCACAACTAGAGAAAGCCTGTGCACAGCAATGAAGACCCAACGCGGCCAAAAATAAATAAATAAATTAATTTATTAAAAAAAGAAAAAAAAAAGATACCCTTGAAGCCCCTTCACTGCGCTGCAGGAAAACCGTTGTAATAAATATACGGAGGGAGGATGTTCAGGGATGAATCCTTCATGAAGGATTCTGGGATGCTTTGATGTGGTTCCTTGGGCACAGTTGGCCACACGCCACGCCCAGGGAAGGGAAGGGAGGGCGGGCGGCCAGCGCGAGCCCTGATGGGCAAACACGGAAGCGTCCTCAGCTCCACAGACACAGGCCTGTGACTCTCACCCAGAGACACACACGGCAGAGGCGGCCTTGCTCATCAAAGGTTTAAAGTCACAGGAATAAACGAATGTAATTCTCCGGGCACGTGGCTTTCTCACCCACTGTGTCAATTCCTCATGGGTGATTTTGTGATGATGAAGAGAAACGTACACAGAGCAGAGATACCAGGGGGGAAGGAGGGGGCAGGATAGTTCGGGGGTTTGGGATTGACGGCTACACACTGCTATATTTAAAAGAGATAACCAGTAAGGACCGACTGTAGAGCACAGGGAACTCTACTCAGTATCCTGTAATAACCTAAGTGGGAAAAGAATTTGAAAAAGAATTTAAAAAAACAAAAGAGGCAGAGATCTTATCGCCTGTGCGAGGCTGGGCTGGTGCCCACCCCCTCGGTGACTTGAAGCAGGCGCTGGTCCTCGGTTCTCTCTTGGCTTCACCTGGATCACCGTCACGGTGGGCGGGGCCCACGGACGCGGGAGGGGGGAAGGGAGCCCGCAGAGCTGGGGGGAAGAGGGGGACTGAGCAGGGACTTGAAGTTTCGACGCAGTTGTTGGGAACAGCGTCACTTCCTAGACCTTGACCTGAAGAATCTGTCTCTCGTTAGGGGCGTGGTTTACTCTCAGCCACAGCAGCTTCGTGGCCCGCAAGGCGCATCCTAACGTCTTCTCAGCAGGACCCCAGGGTCCCCTCTGTCGTCCTTTCTGCTTCCCATCCTCTTCTTCCCCCCACCCCGCCCCGCCCAACATGGTACCTGCGGCTTCAGGCCTCACCTCCCTGGGGACCTTTCTGGGTCCCCAGGCAAAACCAGGCCCTTCCCACTGCTCCCCTGGGCCCCTCGTGCCGTACTTTCTCCAGTTGTGGGGATTTTCATGATGCACGCACAGTTGATTAATTAGAAATACAGTCGTCCTCTGCAGAGAAACCTTGTCTGTAACAGGAGCTAACTGTGTGACTTCATGTGTTTTTCACAACAAGGGATATCCTTTCATAAAAGGGCTAAGCATTATTTTTTTCTTTTCTTTTCCTCTTCGGGTGTTTTTTTTTTTTTTTCCTTTGGCTGCACCACGCGGCATGTGGGATCTTAGTTCCCCACCCAGCGATCAAACCCACACCCCTTTCACTGGAAGCGTGGAGTCTTAACCACTGGATCTCCGGGGAAGTCCATATGTTTTTTAAGTTTAAAGAATGTTAACAAAGATGATGGTGGAGCTAGGAAAAGAAAGCTCTTTAGTATAGATCCAGAACGAGATCTGCTCAATGGTCATATGGTTTTATAGCTATCTTGAACATTAAAAAAAAAAAGAAAAGAAAGCAACTTTAATATTGACAGTTCCAGTGAGAAAAATAATTTTAATATTAATTTTGAACACTGTATCTCCATCTCTTTCCGTTGAAGCAACTATTTTAGCATCTGTTTTTTTATAACATGTGTTTCTTTGTTATATCACAGTCCTGCTGCACATTAGCTGGACCTGCATGTCGAAGGTGGTACATGATATTCTGACTTGGGGATGCAGATCTGGCGCTGACTGTCCTTTCCTTAAGTTTGATCACTTTGTCTTTTCTTCTCACATTCCTGGGCCCCCAGCGGTCAAGTGGACGAGTGAATGTTTCATAGCATCACATCTTAACACGCCCCCAGCCCCCAAACCGCACGCACGCCCCTCACTGGAAGTTAGAGCCACAAAGTGAAGCCGACAAGGAGGGGGGCACGGAGCAGGAATCTCCTGCACCAGCCGTGCCCCTCCACCCCCGCCCCTTCAAAGACGTCCCCCACCTCGTTACCTTTAAAAAAGCAAGAAAGCAGGTCGTATAGTCATTCAACAAGCACGGGCCCCCAACTCTCCACCAGATAACTGTGCTCGCCACTAGTGACAGAAAGATGGATGAGGCCCAGCCCTAACCCTCAGATCCTCTGCTGTCTGGTGGGAAAGACAGACTGTAAACAGACAATTCCAGTGTCACGGTCAGAAGGACAGAGAGATGCGTAGACAGACAGGGAAGACACGAGCGCGGAATCCGGATCCCGCGTTGCTCACGGCTCCGGTCTCTCCTGCAGGCATCCTGCTTATGATGAGCCTGTGCGGCGAGGTGCACGTGTACGAGTACATCCCGTCCGTGAGGCAGACGGACCTGTGCCACTACCACGAGCCCTACTACGACGCGGCCTGCACGCTGGGCGCCTACCACCCGCTGCTCTACGAGAAGCTGCTAGTGCAGCGGCTCAACACGGGCGCCCAGGGCGACCTGCACCGCAAGGGCAAGGTCGTGCTGCCCGGGCTGCGGGCCGTGCGCTGCCCGCCGGGAGCCTGAGGGGCTGGCCGGGCTCCGAGTCCTGGAGATGCTGGAAGGTGCCCTGGAGGGGGCGCGGCCTTCGGTCGCCAGCTGTGACTTCGTAGTGGCCACGGGGGTCCTTCCCTTTCTAAGCCATTGAGCATTTACGACTGCTTTGAATATAGAAATGGAACTCAAAGAAATAAACTCGAGAAAGTTGCAAAAAACTTTTGTAAAGAATAGCTAGGAAAAAAGCAAATGTATAACAAATGGGTAAATAGCTCCAAAATGTTAGTCTTCTCTTTACTAGGGCTGGTTTCAGGTGTCAGGGATACACCTGATAGATGACACAGTTTGTACCTGGAAGCACCCATGCTGAGGGACAGTACATGTCCCATCAACTGTGCCACTTGCACGTGCACTTGTCACGAAAGAGCCTAGAGTTGATGACGAACGTCTGGATTAGCGCCCAGGCATGTTTACACTAACAGCAGAATCCGCGGTATATCCTTTGAGGGGTTTCTAGCCCTCGGCATCCCCCATCTCTGCTCCCAGCTGCCACCGAAGGCTTTGCTCTTTGTGTATCAGACACACTTCCAAAACCATAAAGCCTTCCTCCTGAGCAGTCCAAGAAAAAGCCAACCCTGAAGAGCAGCACAGGGGCAGCACTTTGTTTTCCTGCAATATTTCCTTACTTGACTAGGAACGCCCCCAGGCAGACAGGAACATCCCCGGCAGGTAAATGCAAAATCGGGGGCTGCAGGTAGCCCAGGGCAGGACGGCCCCGGGCCGCCGCTTTTCTGGCCGCCTCACCTGCCAGCCCTCCCCATAGCCTTCTAACCACAGGCGCTGACGGTTAGGACAGCCCCAGGGGATGTGGGGGGTGGCTTCCAGCCTCTAGCTTCACCCTGTGCTTCTGGGGATGCACACCCGTCTCTCTCATGCTCTTTTCTTGCAGGTTGATATCAGCTATTGGGATCTGATGGTGACACACTGATTTTTCACTAATTCTTCCTACAGACAGCTGTTTAGGAATCCCACCCTCGTTTTCACCTACCTGTTGCATGTCAGCAACATAACAAAGCCATGTAATTAAATACAGTTGTGTGAAAGCATCGCTCTTTAACAAATAGGAAAGTAAGTATTAATACACGCTTCAGAGGGAGAGGCAGGGAGAGGGAAGAGTGTCATCCCAGTGTTAGCTGGATCAGTTGCTTTTGTTGTGATCTCAACTTTTGTCACTGATACATCAAAAAAAAAATTTTTTTTTTTTTTGGCTGTAAATGTAGTGAAACAGAAACACTTTGGAATATCTTTTAGTTAAACATGCGATTTCAATCTATAACTAAAACCCATCTCAGTGGTACAGTTAAGACTTCTTGGCCATGACAAGAGCAGCTTAATTAAATCTGTTGTCTTTCGCAGTTGTGTGAACGTCAGGAGAGTTTACTGCGCAGGGTTTTTTGTTCCAGGATCGGTTTTTTTCCTGAGCAACAGTGGCTGACAGAAACCAGACGCTGTGTTTGGTTGGCGGGCTCAGCAGAAATCGGGTTGGGTCCCAAGCATCTCCTACAGCTCACTGTTACAGTGAAGGAGGGCATCACTGAAAAACTTCAACCATGACTATATCCACTAAAAGCCCACTTTGCGAGCTTTGCTTCTGGATCTGGGAGGAGGGATGGTAATTCTGTTCAGCACATTGGCTTACGTCTGAGATGTGGCCAGGCCACTTTTCTTCCTGGTTTCCTGAAAGAGCGTGCTCCTGTCCAGTGTCCGGTGAGTAACATTTCAGTGACTCTGGGCACTGGGAGGTGGCTGATGCGGGGTGAGCAGTCCAGCCACCCTTGTTCCCCCCCCAGACCCTCCAGGCTCTGCCTTCAGAGGCCCATGACGCTGAAGTTTCTGTAATAATCTTCCTACTGGATTTCCCTACCGGCCTCCTTATGTCCAGGGCAGCCCCCTCTGGTGGCGTGAGATCATGGGTAGAAGAAAATTTACTGGGGGTCAATGTAAATATTCAAGTTCAAAGGCCCCAGGAAACACTGCAAAGATCTTTAAGCACTGATACCCTTTACTGTGACACATGTACTTTTAAAACGTACTTTCAGTGTCACCAAGGTTACAAGGTTGAAGAGAGTAAAGAAAATTTTATTAAAAGTTTTGGATGTATTATGGCCTTAAAGACCCTTGGGAACCAAGGTCTGCTAAACATTGAGAAAATGGGGTACACGTATTAATACAACGCGGGCTGGGCATTCTTCTATTTAAAAGTTTAAATTGTTTAACTCCTTAAAAGTATTAGGAGGTTTTAGTTGATGTGCCGGCTGCTTCTAGTATGAATGAAATCGGCCCTAAGAGGCAGTGTTTTCCCAGACATTGATGAAGCCCTCAAATGCCACGGACGGCAATAAACGCCCGGCCTTCCGCGGACCAGTTACAGGGAACGGCGCCCGGCTGCATTTCTTCCAGGCTTCGCCTCTTCCAAGACCCTTCACCCTCTGCTGAGGAGGGATGTTTGATAAGCCGAAGCCGTTAGGTGGCCCTTCACTCTCAGGACTGAAGGAGGTCACGTTGCTTCACATCTCGAGGCAACTTCACTTGATCTTTTGTTGCTGCTATTGTCACAATGAAACAAACATGGACCAAGAATAACTCGCCTGCATCCAGGTCCTTCCCCAGGTACAAGCGGAAGGTCTAACAGATGTGGCACGCTCACTGTCCCCAGGGACACGAGTGCTGGTCCTGTGTGTCACCTTACAGGGCACAGGGCCCGCGGGTTGGCAGGTAGGAGTCGCAAGGAAGCATCCTCTCCCCTCAGGGCCCGCGCGGGGCTTAGGCTCATCTTTCGGTCCCGGGGTCTACCCTCGTCTGCGGGACGCAGGGCTCAAGGAACCTCGGCCCCCTCCTCCCCACGTGTCCCTCGCCCTCGGCCGGCAGCCCGACCTTTAATCCCCCCCTGGGCTCCCCAGTAATCCTCTGTCATGGTAGCCGTAGCATCTACACAAGGCAATGCTGAAATGAGCGTTAGCCTTTTCCAAATCGGGAAATGAAGTCAAGGGTTTAAAGCCGCCCCGGGTTACTCTGTTACAGGATCATGAGCCGGTTCGTTCTGGTGGAACAGATAAATACCTGATGTTGTGGGTTGACCCTTCCGGGCAGGACCACTTACAATCACTGAATTAATTAGGTCCCATCTGGCTGCGGAAGTGGGATCGGGCCCACGTGAGTAATGGTAGGTGACGGAGGGATTTCGTGTGCACAAATGACATAATGAAAGCTCTCTCTCTCCAGCCTTTCTCTTAGAGATCAAGGCACCGTGCGTGGCTGAGACTGGTAGCCAAAGTGACCTGGTCTCATTGCTGCTTAGCTGTGGGAAGAAACGGAGCCGGGAGGTGGGGTGACTATGGAGGAACACGTGGCTGAATGCACAGGCCAGATAGGGTCTGAGTACGTTCACTCAGGCTGTCTGTGTCGACTTCTCGCTTTCTGATCCTTTAGGACTCTTGCCCAGTGGTTCCACAGCTCATGAGGGCAGCTGAATGTAGAAATTCAGTGCTTAGGGAAAGCGTACCTGAGTTCAGGCTCGTGCTTTGTACTCCAGATATTTCCTTTGTGAAATTATTCTGCATGTTTCTATCTCTCGGGCATTATTTTGCACAATTGGTAAATTATTTTACACAATTGGTAAATGAAAGGTATTTATCTTTCAAGGAAATAAACTGTAAGTTCTGATTCTTGCTTTATTAAGTGAATGAAGCCTTTTTAGTATGAAGAAATCCAACAAATTTCTCTACAGGCTTTGGGCTAATGGAATTTAAAGAATTAAAGACATGGATAGAGTTCCTACTCTTGTTATAAAAAGTGTGCATGTAGATATAGTTATATAATTGTATATATACATATCTACACACATGGTTGCTTTTATATCTTTTTTCATCAAACTTTATTTCTGAAACGTTTACAATAAATTTTGTTTTAATTATGCAAACACCAATTTTTTAAGAGAAGTAAGCAAATGTTACATGTCCTTCTGTCAAACAGAAATCCAGTCTTCCCACACACTCGTATTTCACACATTCCAGCTACATTTAAATGTCTGGCAGAAATATTTAAAAGGTGCTGAGGGTAGAACTATGACCTGAAGGTTGTATCATTGCCAGAAGTCTAGTTGAACTCTGACCTTTGATGGGTAATTGATGTAGAGTTCATGGCTTTTGCAAGATTAGGGGAAGAAACACTTATTTGGTTCTATGGAAAATAGTCTTCTTACTTGGTAGGTTTCACGCAAATTAACTGCATCGGAACTGTTAAAACCTAACATTTATGATACCACACAGCCTGTTTTACTCTAGATAAAATCCTTATGAAGCTTTTCCGGTGGAAACCAGTGAACTTTTTTAACAGCTTAGGGAACTTTTTTGTATAATTTTTAAAATTGAGATGTGTACTCTTCAAACGAATTAAGGCTTGAGGTTTTCCAGGAGTCACCTTTTAAAAGTGTTTGTACACATTTTAACACTTTGATATTTTCTAGTTTGGTTTTGTATATTTTTACGTGTACAGACTTTTTTCTTGTCAATAAAACGTTTTCATTTGTCTAGAAGTTTCTGTTTTAATTTGTAGAAGTTGCACAAAATAATGAGCCACCCCTAGAAAAAAAATGGCACAAAGTTGAGACCTAATTGGAAGACTGTAAAAAAGAGTAACACCAGGGCTTCCCTGGTGGCACAGTGGTTGGGAGTCCGCCTGCCGATGCAGGGGATGCGGGTTCGTGCCCCGGTCCGGGAGGATCCCACATGCCGCGGAGTGGCTGGGCCCGTGAGCCATGGCCGCTGAGCCTGCGCGTTCGGAGCCTGTGCTCCGCAACGGGAGAGGCCGCAACAGTGAGAGGCCCGCGTACCGCAAGAAAATAAAAAGTAACACCAGCAGGCCTTCAAACACTGAGTGTGGACACAGCCCTTCCTGAAACAGAGGTTGGGTCAGTGTTCCTCACCCAAGGGTTCAATGCCAGACCAGGAGAAAGGCCACAGCGAAATCCAGCAGAAAAGGCAAAGTTAGGCTAACAGGTCCTGAAGTTGACTTAGTAGGCCAGCATTCTGAGTAACTTATCGCCTTGAGGGACGCTGCCAGCGAGGCAGAGCTCTTAGTCTTAGAGAGTATAAGTAAGTTATTAGAGGGAAGGCTCACCCACTACCATGTCACATTAGCCCTGGTATTTTCACACTTGCCACGTGAAGGGAAATCAGTTAATTAGGCTCCTAGAAGGGAATTCCCAGAGGCTTGTTGTTTCCGGTTAGAATGTGAAGAATCCTTGAAGGGGAGCATCCAGGGTTCTGTGTGAGGAAGGATGTGAGCAGCTGGGGAGCCGGGGGCCCCAAACCCCCTCTGCAGGACGTGCTGGCTCAGAGGGGACACCCACACCTTGGCTTGCCATCATTTTTCTTTCCCCGCAAGACGCAAGATGCCTGCTTCCAGGTAATTAAGATGCAGGCCGGATTCACAAGGACCGAAGATGGGGCCCTGGAAGGATGCCGGGATGCAGCAGCCCAGGACTGAGGTGTGTGCACAGGAGATGTGGCAGCAAACAGAGGAGCAGGGGGGCTGAGTACCTCTGCCTCAGGCTGGCGACGCATCGGGGTGATGGCCCTGGGCGCTCCGTGCTGTGCTCACGAAACCCCAGGTGCACAGAATCCAGCAGGAAGGCCCTCCGGCAGCAAACCTCCGCTGACCCCTCATCCAAGCGGGGGTTGGCAAACTGTGGCCACAGCCTCTTTCTGTCAATAAAGTTTTATTGGGCTGCAGCCATGCTCATGTGTTGACATCCTGGCCACGGCTGTGCCATACAAAGAGTCGGGCAGTTGCAACAGAGACCGTGTAGCAGCAAAGCCTAAAATATTTATTATCTGGTCCTTTACAGAAAGGATCTGCGAGCCCCGATTGTAAATACAGTATATGAGGCTAGTTAGGCGAGGCTTGTGGTAGATGGCCGGTAGGTGGTCCTCACAAACCACCTTCTAAGGTAGGTATAATGTTAGCTTCAGGAAAGCTGGGGTCAGCGAGGTTAATTCATCAGCCTGCAATCCCACAGCCAGGAAATGACAGAGCCCGGCTTGCAGTCCCCGTCTGACTCAAGGCCCCTGCTTGGAACCCTTATGTCAGGCTTTTTAAAATTATTTTATTTTATTTTTATTTTATGCTAGAGTATAGTGGATTTACAATGCTGTGTTTGTCTCAGGTGTACAGCAAAGAGACTCGGTTATAAATGTACGTCTATCCATTCTCATCCGGATTCTTTTCCCGTATAGGTCACTACAGAGTTTTGATAAGCACTCCCTGTGCTCTCCAGTAGGTCCTTGTGGGCGGGCTCCTTAAAGCAGCCTCTCCCTGAGGTACTGCTCTGCTTCTCAGATACCCCACGGACTCCAAGGGCTCAGCTCTGGGAGGCTCATTATACTTTGAATATTTTGAGAAATTGTGCTTTGAAATTTATGGAGCAAATTGTGCTTTGAAATTTATGGAGCAAAATGGAGTTCTCTAAATCCCCAGGACACTAACAGGTATCTGAGCAGCACGTGTCAAGGGCAATTTCTATCTTGTGGTCAGAAGCCAGTCTCTGTGTTTGTCACAGCCCAGTGGAAGGAGGAGGTCTGCTGTGCACAGAGAAAAAGCCAGCACAGGGGACTGGCATCCATAAACTCCGCTCCCAGCTCCTGTCCTAACTACACGGTGTCACGCTGGAGAAGCAGACTTGGAAAATGAGACACTAGGTGTGAAATGATCACAAAAGTCAAAGGGACAGAAAAATCAATGACTTTGAAAATACATCCTCTTCTGTCCCGGCTGCCTTGCTGGCACACAGGAGGGTGGAGGAAAAAGGATTAGAAGAGCAGCGTGGCCCTCGTCTGCTTTAACGTGATGCTGACACGAAGGGGTGGGGGATTGTTCTCATCTACAAAGCCTGTTTGAAGGAGCCCAGCAGGGCACTGGCAAACCCGGAGGAAATATTCGGAAGCCTTGGCGGCCACGCTGGACCCCAGGAGAAGAAAAGCCAGCAGAGATGGTACAGCCGCCGCCTCTCTGTAGGGACCAGAGAGGCTGACTCGGAGCTCATCCGGAATAACGGGCAGGCAGGGGGATCTGGACAGCTGTCATCTAACTACACCCCAGGTAGGTAGAAGAAATGCGACTCGGGAGGGGAGGGGAGAGATCAGCTAGGAGTTTGGGATTAACAGATACACACTACTATATGTAAAACAGATAACCAGCAAGGACCTGCTGGAGAGCACAGGGAACTCTACTCAATACCTTGTAATAACCTATAATGGAAAAGCATCGGAAAAAGAATATATACATATAACTGAATCACTGTGCTCTACACCTGGAACTAACACAACATTGCAAACTAACTATTCTTCCCATTTAAAAATGGTTACCAAAAAAAGAAAGGTAACTTTATTTTCTCCGTAACTAATTCCTGTCTTGAATCCCCTTCTCAACACAAGGTGAAAACTACCATTTTTCATCCAATCTAAGACATCATTCGGCATGAGCTGCACCTGTCTTTTGTGAACCACTACAAACAAAAATGCTTTCATCAGGGCTTCCCTGGTGGCGCAGTGGTTCAGAGTCTGCCTGCCGATGCAGGGGACACGGGTTCGTGCCCTGGTCCGGGAAGATCCCACATGCCGCGGAGCGGCTGGGCCCGTGAGCCATGGCCGCTGAGCCTGCGCGTCCGGAGCCTGTGCTCCGCAACGGGAGAGGCCACAACGGTGAGAGGCCCGCGTACCGGTTAAAAAAAAAAAAAAAAAAAAATGCTGTCATTAAACTAGTGACCCTTTGATGTGTACTGTGAACACAGCAGCCACAAGCCTCAGCAGGGTACCGAACAGCTGAGCCGCCTCAGAACTGAGACGTGGAGTGTAACATACACCCTGGATTTCTAAGACTTAGCGTGAAAAGATGAACGTAAAATATCTCAGTAATTTTGTTATATTGATACGTTGAAATGAAATTTGAGATAGAAGGGGTATTCGTGGTTCCGAGAGACTGGAAGACAGGATAGCTTAGTAAGAATTAGAAAGCTGGTCCGTGACAGGAGCGCGATCTAATCCAAGCAGCGGGTTCCACAGCCCTCGCTCATGTTGCTGCGATGCTTCTGTGTCACTGGCTTCTTGAAGGAGGCCACTAGGACACCACTGAGCTGCCAGGCCCCCCGGACCACCATACTTAACGGTCGTCATGAGACACATAATCAGACTCTGAAAACCAGCCACCCTCACCCTTCCCCAAGGAAAAAGAAATCTGGAAAAAGGAATCAGCACTGAAGCTGGCGCTGAGCACCCGTTGTGTAGCAGATTCTGGGCCAATGTGATCCCATGGATCCTCAACAACACCCTTGGGAGGGATCCTCACCCCGACTTGATACACAAGGAAACTGAGGCCCCAGGAGACTCTGACTGGACGAAGCGCGTCGCGACAGAGCAGGGTTTGAGTTCAGGTCCTCTCAACCCAAAGTCTGTAATTGTTTCACCTAACCTTTCTGTCTGAGGAACAAAATGAATTGCAAGGAAAAACACTGGGGCTTGCCCTATGCAGAAGACATGGGGACATCCACCGTGAATTCATAGTATTTCCAAGGAAATGTCCTTCACTCTTCTACAACCCAACTTTGCTGACACACCACCGAGTACAAAGCCTCAGGGAATTCCACACGGCTATGAAAACCATGGCTAAAAAGACAAGTAATAAGATTGGAGAAAGTTCACGGTATAATGTTAAGGTCAACAAATAGGATACAAACTGTATAATTAAAATCTCTTCCTTATGTATGTACACACACATACGCATATATTACTTACACATTTATATACATATGCACATATATGAGCCATACGTAAATACATAGATGACTTAAAAATATTTTAATATGCCAAAATAATTAGAACAAGCGATTATCTCTGCATGGTGGGAAAATGGGTGGTTTATATCTTATCTTAATTGTACTTAATTTTACACATTTTTAAAAAATCTATTGAATATAATTACAAAAAGCAAATTTTAAAAATATTTAGGAGGTCTTGTGCTCTAGTGGGAAGAGATGGGCTTTGACAGAGTGGCTGGGCAGAGAAGAAATCCATGTCCTGCTTTGTGTTTATTCATTTATGTGATCCAGGTATGACAGGGGATCAGAGCCCCCCAGATATTCGCAGCAGTACAGGCTGGCTCATCACCCAGCACCCTGCAATGTCACCACCAGCCGCCATCAAGCCCTGTGGCAAGCACCTGGGGTCACATTACTCATTAGAAAAAGGCTGTTTTGAAACTACCATCAGCTATTTCGAAGCTGATGACATATGTCAATATTTTAATGTCCCGTAAGTGGATAAAAGAACAGAAGGGAGAAAGACCTTTACTAATAAAGTTACAAGGGCTGCTACAAGCTGCTCCCCCCTCCCCCTGGATTCAACTTCCCACAGACACCTGGCTGTATATCCCAGAAGAATTTAGCAGAATGAGTGTGAAAAGCACATATGTGACGTTTGAGATGTTGGCAAAATGACTGGGGTTCAAAACCAGATCAGTTTGACTAAAAAAAAAAAAAGC